CTCTCTCTCTCTCTCTCTCTCTCTCTCTCTCTCTCTCTCTCTCTCTCTCTCTCGTCGCCTGAGAACTTTCGGTTTCCTTCGGTGGCTCGTTATTCCCCGGGAGCGCGCGGGCATCTCTCCGTCGCTAATTGGATATGTATTTGTCCGTTTGTCCTGGTGGAACACAAGAGGAGGTAGTGGTGGAGGCGGCGGCGGCGGCGCCGGCTACAACGCACGGCCTGCCGCTTATTTGTACAGCATGAAACGGCAGTTTATCTCTCGGCCGGACGTTCCTGGCAGTTCGGGGCACGGAAATATATCGTGTCATCAAATCGCAATTTTCCACTATTCCACTCGTGCCTCTCTCCCTCCCCCCACCCACCCCAAATCCCATCCCCCCGTGCGGGTAAATTGCGGTTACTTTCGTAAAAATATGTCGGCCAAGTTTCGGCACTATATTTTACAGGGGCGAGTTTACTTTGGACGCGGCGCCCCCGTATCGGAGTTTCTCTAACGAGCCCTCGTCGTGCTCTCGCTCGCGTGTTCCGTAAGAAGCGCCCGCCGCGAAGAAGGACTCGGCGGTTCGTGATTTTCAACCTGTTGTCGTCGTAAATTTTCCCCACTCCAGTCGAACTAGTGGACGGATTTCGCGAAACGATTCGTGTCGACCCTCACATAACACATACGCTTTAGATACGCTTGATCTGGCACACTAGGGACGTTTTCATCCCCCCACTTACTTACATTCCGTTCAAAGTGCTAATAGGAGTCTATGAAAAATAATAAATATACTTTTAAGTCTGAAAGCAGAATAGAATCATGTGCCGGAATATCAGCAAATATTCATTTGAATATACCATTTTATCGCGTATATAAAAAGAAACGCGATGAAAACGCGAGTTCATATAAAAATTTTTAACTTTTCTGAAAATAAATTTAAGAAACGGACCTTTTAGAATTTACTATTTAAGAAACGCAACTTTTAGAATTTTCCTGTCAATACGTGAACTTTTAAGAAAAAAATATTACATATTTCAATTTGTTAAAAAGTATGATTATCTGCACGAAAACACATTATTTTTCAGTCAAAAAGCGAATAAAATCATTGGTAGCTGCAAGTTTTTGCGTTATTTTATCACACGCGCACACACATACAATGTTCGTGTTTCGAGTTTGACGGTACAGAATTTTTCATTACGTATAAAATATATAGCCAGAAATAAATAAGCTACTTACATGAAACTTTTTTTATATGCTATATTTAACGCAAAGAGGACTGAAATATAAATCATCTTTATTTTATATTCTGACTAAACTCGACATACTGAAATGAAAGACAACTCCATTGAAACATTTTCTTCTTATATGACAGGCAATATGATAGAAAATGAATCAATAGTGTTTAAACCTCATATTTCCACCAAATATAACTTCTTAGTGTGTGCATCGAAAGTCCTCATTTCACTAGATTGCGGGCAACTTCAAATTCGGATGGGATCGAAAATGACTCCGGTGTGCCGGATTAGAGTTAAAAATATGTTAAGTCCAAATTAGCCAACTTTGCACACTCCTATCTGTCTATCTTCTATTTATCTACCTTATTTGTTTGTCTCTCAATCTCTCTCTCTCTCTCCCCCCTCCATCCCTCTCCCTCCCTCTCTCAATCTCTGTCGCGCAATACATGAAAATTACACGAGAGATTTCGCGTTTTATCGCGCGCGGCGGAATAACGAGCGAAACGCGTCGAGCCGGCATGACGCAATATCAAAGGTACAATCAATGCTAATGCATACATG